GGCGCCAATACAAATTCTTGACACAAGGGAGCAAGTTCTACTTAACAAGTTTATACCTCTTGTGGAATCGGAGACGGATATGCGAGTATGATATCCACATCTTTTTTACCTTGGAGGTTAGTAATAAGTTTTTGGGGACGAAACTTATTTTAAGGGGGATAAATTGTAAGATCTCATGTTTCATTTAAATATAAATTCTATGATTTTACTAGTATTTCTAAGTTGATTAAAATGATTATAGAAACTTTGAATCATTATTAAAAGAAAATTCGCAAAATTTGAGTTTCATGCGTATTGACTTTTGGGTCAAATTTAATTTGAAGGCGATTAAACTTAATAAGGGTAACTAGGTATATTTCTAAAAGTTTGGAAGTTCAACTAAGATTACCATTGACTCTAGTAGATCGATAAACGTTGGGATAAAATATTCACCTCATATTTTACATAATTTCAATGTTTTGAGAAATCGACCTTGATTTTGAGATAACTCATAAAACTAAATGTTTTTAAGTTAAAATAACATTAAAATGGATTTGAAATGTCGAAAAACTTTGGAATAGTCATACGGATCAAATTGAAGAGGTTTAGGGGTAAACCATAATTTTGGACAAAAATGGGTTTTTGGCATAGTGAACAGTATCGAATATTGAGATTTTTTGGTTTTAAACCCCCAATTTCACCCATTTTCTATCATTTTCCTCACACTTCTCACCCAATACCATTCTTAAAACCCTAGAACTAGAGAGAGGAAAAGAGAAGAAGGAAGAAGAAGGTCTCTAGGGTTTGAGCTTTGCTTGGCAAAATCTAAGGAACTTGGCTTAAAATTATTGGTTCCTAGATAGGGTTTTCCTCTCTCGTGTATATACATTGTGCATCTCATGTATTTTCTTTACCTAAAGTTTAATATGTGTTGGATTAATAAATTCTTCCATGAATTTGTGAACCTATACACATAAAGATGGTTTTAGTATTATGGATTTGAAACCCTAACTTGACTTTGATTATAGGTATTTGATTAAACTTGTAATTTGGGGTTTTGAAGTATGTTATGATCTTATATATAACTTATTCTCTTGGAAATTGTTATATTGTTCTGAAAATGAAAATCTTGATATAATGCGCTTAATACATGTTTAATAAAATGTCAAGGTTGTGGCATGAGTTTTCAAAAGAGTTTACGGATGACATATGATAATTTTTAAAAAGGGTATCCTCGATACCTACAAACAGAATGTCATCGAGGGGATTACCAAGGCGACTACTAGCCTTAGGGAGGAATTGGTGATGATAGTAGTTTTCAGTGATGGCCTTTGTGGCGTCACAATGTATGCCCTACACATTCCCCTGAAAAATAAGAAGGGCAATGAGATCTAAGGGTGTAAGACTCAAAAGGTTCCCCGAAGATGGTTCATGCACCGACCAATGTTTGATTGATTACATTGTCTATATACACGACATGCATGATATTTGATAAAATGTTTTGAGTTCAAATCTATAAATATTTGATCTATAACTAGTGTATTTCAGATGATGAAGTATTGAGTGATTTTGTAAATATCCTACTTATTGCCTTGCATTTATACTTAATAATAAAAAGCTTTCATTACTTGTTCATCTGATTTGTGAAATGTTGGTATTTAAAATTTTGTATATACTTGAAAAAAAAGAATATCATATTGGGTTGTGCTTGCTTATCCCTTATATATATTTTGAGAGACTAGTATGTATCTCAGGGCATATGTGATAAAAGACTTATAGAGCTTGAGACTAGGAAGAATTTCTTTTTCAAAATCTTTTTGTATTTACCCTTAGAACTTGTATGAAAAATGTTGGTACACAAATATTGTGTTTGAAAGGGTTGTTTTGAAACAGTTGTGATGTACACTTGATCACCCCATAAAAGGATTATTATTTAAGTTATGACTTTGATGTATAGATGTATTGTATGAATTTGATTTTGGGAGAACTTCATGGACCTCAAATTGCCACCCAAGTTTTAGTTTGAATTATATTATGATGGGTGGATATTGTCGACGTTTAGTTAGTTTAAATTATGATATACTCCCACAGGTATGCTCTTACTAATTGGTTGGAAACCTGATTTTCAAATAAAACTCTACTAAATTTTTTCGAAGAAGTATGTAAATCAAATGTTTAATTTCATTCAAATTTTATTGTAAACCAACAAGAGATCGTGGGATCAATATTACATTTTATTAAATCAAACTTTAATAAAAATTGGGGCATGACAATTGGTAGCAACAATAACAGTGATAAGGTGGTAAAAGATTAGATTTATCAGATTTTTTTTGAGGATTTTTTTTTTTTAAATCTTTTATCATTCTCATGAAGATATTGATCAAACAAAGAATAAGAAAGTGAGAAAGAGAGAATGCATTCCGGGTTAATTAATATATCAAAACAAACTTAACACTAAATACACAATTCAAGCACATATATAATAGGATAACATAAAAGAAAGGAACATACTAAACTACCCCTAATATTAATAATGCTCACGCTAAAACTCATTCTTGTTTCAACTATTTTCTCTTTGAAATTTACCTCATTTTCTCCTAGATATAGACCTAAAAAGGGAAAATAGGCCATCTCTAGTAAATTCATCGTACTAATACAAGACAATTCAACCCCCTTCACATTTATTGCAATTAAAATAAATCAAAACGATTTGAGATAATAGTCAAAAAAATTGAATGAATATAAACAATTTTCTTACCACCCTATAAAGAATATAACAAAATTATATTTCGCTTGGTTTGTTTAAAGCGATCACAATAACTCAATTGGGTGAATAATACACGATTTTATTTGTTGGGGTAGGGGGGGAANATTTTGTAAATATCCTACTTATTGCCTTGCATTTATACTTAATAATAAAAAGCTTTCATTACTTGTTCATCTGATTTGTGAAATGTTGGTATTTAAAATTTTGTATATACTTGAAAAAAAAGAATATCATATTGGGTTGTGCTTGCTTATCCCTTATATATATTTTGAGAGACTAGTATGTATCTCAGGGCATATGTGATAAAAGACTTATAGAGCTTGAGACTAGGAAGAATTTCTTTTTCAAAATCTTTTTGTATTTACCCTTAGAACTTGTATGAAAAATGTTGGTACACAAATATTGTGTTTGAAAGGGTTGTTTTGAAACAGTTGTGATGTACACTTGATCACCCCATAAAAGGATTATTATTTAAGTTATGACTTTGATGTATAGATGTATTGTATGAATTTGATTTTGGGAGAACTTCATGGACCTCAAATTGCCACCCAAGTTTTAGTTTGAATTATATTATGATGGGTGGATATTGTCGACGTTTAGTTAGTTTAAATTATGATATACTCCCACAGGTATGCTCTTACTAATTGGTTGGAAACCTGATTTTCAAATAAAACTCTACTAAATTTTTTCGAAGAAGTATGTAAATCAAATGTTTAATTTCATTCAAATTTTATTGTAAACCAACAAGAGATCGTGGGATCAATATTACATTTTATTAAATCAAACTTTAATAAAAATTGGGGCATGACAATTGGTAGCAACAATAACAGTGATAAGGTGGTAAAAGATTAGATTTATCAGATTTTTTTTGAGGATTTTTTTTTTTTAAATCTTTTATCATTCTCATGAAGATATTGATCAAACAAAGAATAAGAAAGTGAGAAAGAGAGAATGCATTCCGGGTTAATTAATATATCAAAACAAACTTAACACTAAATACACAATTCAAGCACATATATAATAGGATAACATAAAAGAAAGGAACATACTAAACTACCCCTAATATTAATAATGCTCACGCTAAAACTCATTCTTGTTTCAACTATTTTCTCTTTGAAATTTACCTCATTTTCTCCTAGATATAGACCTAAAAAGGGAAAATAGGCCATCTCTAGTAAATTCATCGTACTAATACAAGACAATTCAACCCCCTTCACATTTATTGCAATTAAAATAAATCAAAACGATTTGAGATAATAGTCAAAAAAATTGAATGAATATAAACAATTTTCTTACCACCCTATAAAGAATATAACAAAATTATATTTCGCTTGGTTTGTTTAAAGCGATCACAATAACTCAATTGGGTGAATAATACACGATTTTATTTGTTGGGGTAGGGGGGGAACCTAACGTGGAAAGAATCCAATCCAACCTAAATCAAACACTAGGAGAACTAATGTTTTATAAGAAATTTTCCATAGCTGTTGAACCATCATTTGGGTTTGTGTGATGCAACCCTAAACTTAGATGTGATACCTAGTTTTCCTCCTCTTTGTTTTTTCTTCCTCCTCTGCATCTAATAATTTGAAATAATCCTATTTTTGCTCTCTTTTGAACCCAACCACCAAGGTACGAAAGAAAGCAATGTGTAGCACTCTTTGTACTAATCAAATCCAACACTTTCCTTCAACAAAACTTGGTGTCTAGCCCTATTGAAACCCAAAAAACACATTAAATGTTCATGAATTAACCCCAAAAAAATTACTGTTCATGAATTACAGTTACATTGCACGGAACAATCTTCACCACCAAAACTTTTTTCTAATCCCGAAAATTTAGCAACCAAACCCTTAACTATTATTTCCTAATCTAAACCAAATAACAAATACTTTGTTGTGATACTGCATCAATAAAACATTGCATAGATATATCATCTTCCCGTTGACTCCAACATTCTGCCATTGATGCTTCACCAACATCCACCATTAAATGACAGCTTATCAAGCAATGATGTTCTGCCTTCACGCCATCTTCAGGAACCTCATAGTAGTTATGTCACTGCGAGGTATGCATTAAACCAAAAGGTTGGCTTTCTGAGCCGTATACATAATGTACACTCTTCAGCTTGTATTGCCAGCAAGCCAAGATTTGTAGATAATCATGGTGGAAACCAACTCCAGAACATGACCATCATTGCCATCTTACAAAAACCACAATTGACTTCATTAGGTAGGACAGTGCATGCAAACATTTACCATGGGTCAGAGTTGTTGCAGAGGAAACTTCTAGCAGATGAAGGCCTAGACCAACCATCCTCCATCAATATGAGGTTAAGGCGAGTCATCAGTTTCTCCACAGCATCTTCCTGTAAGTCGCCAACTGAATCAGATGATTGTTTCTGTATTGAATGAAATCACCAATAAGTTACGCATATAAAGAAAGACATCTGTTCCAGTTTTCCAGCAAGGGATAGAAATCAACCTTTGTTTCCTGATACAACTCGAGGTACTTCTGTGATTCCTCATAAAATCCACAATGGTAAAGGAGAATGCTGTAGTCTCTCAATTCCTTCGGATCAGTTTCGAGGAGGATAAGGCGTTCACAGGCTGTCAATAGAAGAAAGAGTTTCAATGAGAACCGAACAAGACAATGGAAAAAATTATATTTATACCATTCAAGGAGTGATATGACACATTAAGGAAATTTGACGGCATGTGCACTCAATGTGGCGACTGAAGGAAAAAACATACTTCTAGGCAATAAAGGCTTGCCAGAACAAGGTACATGGTGACTGTATTAAACACCTAGTCTATCACAAGGCATTGGATTATCAAGTTTAAAATTAAGGCTTAATTGCACCGAAGCTCCCAAAAATATGGAGTTTGTCTCATTTTGGTCTTTTAATATTTTAATTGTATCATTTTGGTCCCTGAAATATTAAATATGTTTCTATATGGTCCCTCAAGCAGATAGTGTCTAAATTGCTAACGATTTTCTATTATAAACTTGTTACATGATACTTAAATATGGATAAAAAAATAATTTAGATAACTCTTGACCAAATTTTTATTCAAATTTTGATTAAATACCTACCTAAATTACACAGTTTTGATCATGAGTTATCCAAATTTTGAGCAAAAATACCCATATTACATATTTTTTTGTCAAGAGATACCCAAATTTTGTTTAAAAGTTATCAAAATTATTTTTTGTCCATATTTAGCCATTACGTGACAAGTTTACAATAAAAAATCATTAGCAATCTGGACATTGTTTGCTTGAAAAACTATATAAAAACATATTCAATACTTCAGGGATCAAAATGATGCAATCGAAATATTGAGGACCAAACTGAAACAGACCCAATACTTTGAGGATCTCTAATGCAATTAATCCTAAAATTAATCATAAGAATGAAAAGATTCAATGTGGTAAACTGAGGCTCAACATTTATTGAGGAATATAGTTAGACTAACAGGCACTAATCTAAAGATTGACACCATATTGTGACCATAGAAAAAAGTGGTGGTTATAAACGAAATTGTTATACGAAAACTTTCGACTTTCTATAGTACACCCAAAAACAACTGCACATGTCCCAGAAAAATATTGATACAGCCTTCAAATAAGGATGGCCTTCCAAACTTAAGCATATACAACTGATATCAAGCCCTTGCTCAACTACTTAAAATGATAAATGACTTCCTGGTCAAAATCAGTTTAAGTGAAAAACTTCAACTCCTTGACTTTTTGCTTATATTCACTTGGCCAGTTTGCTTCAAACATTACTTTCACGAGTATACATATATTTATCTACATGTAGTAGTACAGGATGTTCCATTTAATTCGGAGGTGGGTCAAATAACCAAAATAGACAATGTTGGCCCCAGACCAAATGGTTGCTTCCAAAGTCTAACAAAATTAATTTGGGTGTAACTAAGAAATTTCAAAGTTGTACAAACACATCTAAATTGGACTGAATTTCCATGTTACGGTTTTCTTTTGTCTTTGTAATAAGCACTTATATTATAGTACTCTCTTCAGAAGGTAGACACAAAACTAAGCTGAAGTCCATAAGTATCACAGATGACACACCATGCTTTGCTGTTTTGGGAGTATGGAAAGTCATGTTAAAAAATATAAGAGAATCTTTTTAATGTTTTACAAGTTTACCAGATTTTCTATGTTGCTTGAGTCAATTTTTGCTTAGCATTTGTCAATCGTTTTGGAAGAAAATCCTGATTTGTCATTTAATCATTTTCTCTATGGAAGATCAACGATTCATCTTATTCTGCAAGGCATTTAATATGATTGAGGCCTTATCAGTCAGGCTTAGGGTGAGTTTGAATGAGACGATATCTAAGTTTCAAGGGGCTTTTTAAAGGAAGACAGATTTCAGATGTGGCTCTTGTGGCTAATGAAGTGCTTGAAGATGGGAGATCCAGAGGGAATGAGGGCATTGTTTTCAAAAATCGAGTTTGAGAAAGCGAATGACCATGTAGCTTAAGGCTTCTTGGATTTTGTATTGGAGGTTAAGAGTTTTGGAGAAAGTTGTAGGAAGGAGACGAGGGGTTGCCTACAGTCAGTTAACTTTTCTCTTATTCTGAATAGCAAACTAAGGCAAAAGTTTAAGGCATCTAAGGGGCTTACGCAGGGGGGATTTTTGCCATTGTTTACTCTTGTGGTGGATGGTTTGAGTGGGCTAGTGATGAGGCGGAGAGGTATCATTTGGTTAAAAGCATTTACAATTTACTAATGATACCATATTCTTTTCTCAAGTGAAAAAGATTTGGTAGATATATGGGCTTAAAGTTAACTTACATAAAAGCATGATTGTTGGAATAAAGTCTTTCAGATAAGATTGCTAGGTTGGCTCCTGAGTTAGGGTGTTCTGTAGGTGGGTGGCCTCTTAAGTACTTAGGTCTTCCATTGATGACTTTAATCGACGATGGTTGTGGCAATTGTCTTGTTCAGCATCAAGATCAAGGAGCAGCAAATCAACGGGAAGGAGCAGCAGGCAGTCGCAGTCTCAATCTCCATGGGCTCAAGAAGTCACAAAGCCACTATTGTGATTCTCTAGGGTTTGGGTTGGAACTGGTAGTGAGTGTTGTGGTGATGGAGATAGGTTGTAGTTGAGTTAAATTTGGAGAGAGGGAAAGTGAGGCGTGACGGGGTTTCACTGGTTCAGTATACTTAGCTAAAGGTATGGTGAGATCGGTGGTGGGTTTTGTCCTGATAATTAGTAATATTGTAATATTTATCCAAATTTTTTCTCCTCTAATTAGTAATATTTCGGCTCATGAGGTGATAGAATCAAGTGATATAGGTCTATAGGGCAGAAAGAAAAGTTGGTCAGTCCTGGACATTGTGTCCAAAAGTAATCATGCTTCCAGATACGATATTATATATGAATTGTATCTATTATGTAATAAGAAGCGTGCACCAATTGCTCTGTACTTAGCCAGTTAGGTACATATTTCAAAGGCATATAATAATTCGAGCGGCTCGCGAGCTATTCGACCTAAGTTCGGGCTGGGCTCGTTCAGCTTCGACTTATATTAAAGAAACGAGCCAAGCCCAAGCCAAATCTGAATAGTTCAGTTTGTTTAACAACCCTAATTAATACTAGTGCACTTTGTATCGGCTAGTCTTCCTATGGCTAGTATGGCGACTAGAAGGATTCAAAGGAGGATGAGGAATTTTTGTGAGAGTGGAGTAGTGAGAGAAGAAAGGATAACTTGATTAGGTAGGAGGTGGTATCGAGGCTTTTGGTGGGGTATTTGTTGAATAGAAATAGTCTTAGTTAGAAAATGGCTTTGGAGATCTCCCTGTTGGCACTATGTTATTAGAAGCAAATATGGTTTATAAACCAACGAGTGAGCGAGTTAGGAAATTAATTATTGTAATTGACTAATTCTATGATGTCACATGGAAATCTCAACTAAATTCATAGTCATCAAGTTACAATAATGAAGACCAAAAGCAAAGAAAGAAGATGAAGTCCAAGCTACAAAGTCACACTTGAAGATTTTTGGAATCCTTCAAAGCTTAGTAATGGTATATGACCTAAAAACGTCAGTTACCTTTGGTATTCTTACTTTGCTACTTAGGTTGTTAATAATTGAATTTAGGATGTGTTTCAACTCTTGATCATTTTATTGAATTTTTTTTGAAACTTAAATGTTGTTTTGAAAACCCTAATTGGGTCATGGAATGGATCATCGTTGAGCAACACTCCTTGGAGTTCAATAGGACAAGTTTTTACATAGTTTTAGGCTTAAAAACCATTAAGGACCGTTGGAAGCCCACTGGCATATGGTTCGAGCTGTCTCTGAACAGTTAGGAAAAAATTAGAGAAAAGTTGATAACATGAACAGTGGCCACCGTTGGCCAGCTGCTCGAGTGGTCCTTGTTCATGAGGTCTGGTTTTGATCCTCGTGTCATTCTAGAGACCATCGTTCGATGACCACACTCTCACAGCTTGAGCGGTCCCTCACAAATCTGAGTTTTCTAAGGTCCCAAATAAACTCTATTTGCAGACCCTCTATAATTAGAAAATAGCCTCATCTAACATCTAGATAGCCAAGAACAAACCCTAGCATCCCTAAGCATCCAAAGACCATAGATCTACAAGATCAATCTTGTTTTCCACCTTCAAATCTTGAAGAAAAGAGAGATTAAGTAGAAACCCACCAAAATCCAAAGTAGTGAAAAAATCGCAGTGGATCTCGTGAGTGAAGATATATGTGAGAAAAAATCTAACCATGGAATTAGTTGCTGCATAAAACTTTAAGCTTGTGATCCCAACTTTAACTATAGTGAATTAGATCAGGTGGGCTACGGTTCTGTGGTTTTTCCCCAAAGGATTTACAAGAAAAAATTGCTTTGTGTTGTGGTTTGCTTCTCTCGTTTTTACTTTGCACACACACTTTCAATTTTACCCACACCATATGTTTGATGGTATGTGTTATTGGTTGATTTATCATATTTATCATCCTTGTGGTTGTTTAAATAGGTGGAAGGGCTTTGGAGGGATAAGGTTGGTGGATTGCACTTTGTGCTTTGATTGTTGAATTTTGATTTGCAGTCATCCACCCATTCGAAGGGTTTGAGCATTGAATTGGGGGTTGTGACATTAATTGACCAATTAATTGATAATTAAGTGATATAGGTTTTAATTGGGAAAGAAATTCCACATTGAGTGCTAAGACCTATTCACCCTCCCCCCAGTCAACCTTGTCAAACTCCACGATCAAACAAGCATTTCGGGCCAATCCATACTCGCACTCTCAGAGTGGGGTGCTAAGAGGGTTGAACTTGAATGAGGATGTTTTCAGAACTCTTAGAGATTTATTTCACTGGGTTTTGTTGAAAATGGAGAGAGTTTCTTCTAGGAGGATACTTGGATTGGGGGGAGTCTTCCTTCTCATGTCTGTTCCCCAGACTATATCACACATCATGTTATCGTCATGCTTTGTATCCCCTCTTTGGTTGGATCCTATTCGTATCCACTTGGAATTTCTGCTTTACTAGAAATCTATCAGATAGAGAATCTGGGAATTGGCATGACTGCTTTCCTTGCAACAATTCTACTTTGAAGCTTGATTCCTTGGATAGAAGATGTTGGGTAATTAATTCAATGAGTTCTTTCTATTGTAAATCATTTTTTGAGTCTTTAATAATGATTCTTCAGTTGCTCTCTTTCCCATCAATGAAAATTTGGAGTGCTAAAGTTCCTTTGAAGGTGCAGGTGTGTGCATAGTTAATTCCTTAAGGTAAAATAAATACTGATGATGTACTTTAAAAAAAAAAAAAAAAGGCATGGTGTTTGTCAATTACCACAGTAGTGTGTTGTGTGTAAAGGAGATGGTGAGAGCGGGGATCATGTATTTTTGCATTGTCCTATTGCTCTATCTAAGCACTGTACTTGTTTCTTGGTTTCTTTCTAGGCCTCGATTTCATTTCATGAATATCTCTCTTTGATAGAGATCGAAAATGGATTAGATGAGCTTAAATTGAAGAGATAGATTTTATTATTTGTTTTAGTATTATTATATTAGTTAGGATATATTTGTTTGCCAAGGAGTATTAATTAGAGTTTGACTAGAAAATTAGTATAGAATTTTAGTAGAATAGAAATTTGAGAGTTTGATTATGAAACTCTTTTAGAATTTTAATAGGAGAACAGTTTTTATTTTGGTAGGGAATTTGACCTATAAATAATGGTGTAATCCCAACTATTTTTATTAGAGAGTGATATAATAAAAATTTGTTTTTCTGTGGAGAATTTTATGTATTTCTTGACCTATTCCTTGTGAAGGTTCGATATCTCTTCTTCTTCCGTCCTACATCAATTTGGTATCAGAGCTCAACCTTGAGCCATTACCGTTGTCCATCAATTTCGTCTCTTTGCTGTCAAAAACAACTTGAAATTTCATCAAGTTCTTTTCTCTATCCTCTTCTACATCATTGGCCAGATTTATCACAGAAACCACAAATTCACCAATGCATCATAAAGACAAGTTGACGATGTTTTCTCCTTTATTGTTGATTTACATGAGGCTACTATGCTTATGGTACGTAGAATAGGGTTTCAACCATATTGCCTTGACCTATTATTCAAAATACTTGACCCAATTTTCTTAAAACTCTAGCCCATATCTTTGAAAAAAAAAAAAAAAACCTTCTTATTTTTGAACCAATACCCAAAACCCACGAAAAATTCAAGCCTAACACTACTGAAATTGCACAAATGCCCCCCAAGTCTTTTAAAAATTATATATCTAACCCCAAGAGTTTCTAAAATTATACTTTTGGCCCCAAAAGTTTTAGAAATTACAGTTTGACCCCTAAGTTTTGGAAATTACAGTTTAGCCCAAATTTTCTGAAATTATAGATTGACCTGAAAATTTTCAAAAAAATTGTTAAACCTCTCTTTCAACAATATGGTTTCCAACGCTGAGTTAAATGCTAAAGTGGAGGCTTTATCCCAAGCACATGATAATTCACAAAAGACTATGAATACTAGACTAGATACAATTCAAGCATCCATCGATTCACTAAGAGAGCTTGTGCTCACTATTGTTTGTGAAACCAAAACAAGTGAAGATTTTAACTTTATCTATTCAACTGTCAATCAAAAAATGGTCGAACATAGCCTTCCAGTTATACCACGAGTTCCACCACTACAAATTCCAATCTGATTGAATGGCGATAAACCAAAGTTATTCAATGTTAATAAGTCCAAAAATTCTACTTCTACTCATCCTACAATTGTTTTTGATAAGCCGATTGCAAAGGGTGTTCTTACAGATGAAGTAGCAAGTTTCAAACATTATTTTTTTAAATGGTGTTGCTACTTTTTTGTCAACATCATCACCATCCTTTGATATAGAACAAAGTCTAAAGATTATGAAGATTTGAGATATAGATTCCTCCCATTGTAATATCCTATATTATGTCATTGAAGGGATATCTTACTTCTATGCTATTAGATTTGAAAATGTGTTTTACTATCTGATGTCAATTCTCTTGGAGTATTCTTGCAACAACAACTCTTCGAAGATTAATTTTTTTCAGTCGGGCAGAATTGATATGGATCGAAAAGGGATGGGATGAACTTAAATTGAAAGAATTGAATTTTATTATTTGTTTTAGTATTATTATATTAGTTGAAAAATATTTGTTTGACTAGGAGTATTAATTAGAGTTTGACTAAGAAATTATTATAGAGTTTTAGTAGAATAGGAATTTGCGAGTTTGATTACGAAACTCTTTTAGAATTTTAGTAAGAGAATAATTTTTATTTTTGTGGGAAACTTAGCCTATAAATAATGAAGTAATCCCAACTATTTTTATTAGAGAGTAATATAATAAAAACTTGTTTATGTGTGAAGAATTTTGTGTGTTTCTTGACCTAATCCTTACAAGGGTTCGATATTTCTTCTTCTTCTTTCTATTATCTTATTTCTTCTTCTTCCGTCCTACATCACTCTCTACGGCATTATCGCATGTTGGAACACATCATTTGGCATGATGTGGTTTGTCCATAGTAGTGCCATGCACTGTTTAACCTCTTGTGTTGTTTGTTTTTGGTTGGATGATGGTACAAGTGACATTTGAATTGACAAAGGTGTAAGCTTAGAGAAAGTGCCAGGCTTAGTAGCATCATGTCGAGTCTAAAAGCTGTAAGAAGATGATACCAACTCCTACTTCTCTTTCACAACAAAACTTTGCATCGCACTGCTATAATAAGTAACACAACCATACAACTCAGTGAAAATAAAGTCTTTACTGTACCTGCGTGAACGACACCACCTCCTCCCAACACCCTGCAGGGGCGGGAGGATCATGCACTCTAGGCCACCCTTCTATGTAATTATAAGCAGCAGTCAATTAGATACCAATTATGAGGTGCACATGAACTCAATCTTTCAACAAATCCAATTATGAACTATTTTAGGTTAGCTACATGAATTCTATTAAACCACAAAGAGGTGTACATCACATAGATGAAATGAGCTTCCGGGTATGAAAAACATACATCACAAACGATTTGTTATAAGCCAGGAATAAACTTCTATTCAACACCCATTTCTTCAGGAATTATTATCCATTATTCAATTAACAATTAATGGTCAAAATATAAAGGTGCTATTATATTTACCGTGTTGACCTCTAACTAATCACAGATATTAGTCTGGCACTCTGTCCAACCCTCGAACCCTTAATTCACAAGATCAGTGATGAGCGATAAGACTTTTTGGCAATTTCTTTTTCCAATTGCAAAACAGATCCACATTGTTCATGTACGTGGGTTGGTTTGGCTGTTCACATTACTTGAACAGTCACAGTTTCTTTCTTATGCCGACAGGTTACAATATGAGTTTCGAATCTTCAATTTATTAACTGTCCTGATATATANAATAGGAATTTGCGAGTTTGATTACGAAACTCTTTTAGAATTTTAGTAAGAGAATAATTTTTATTTTTGTGGGAAACTTAGCCTATAAATAATGAAGTAATCCCAACTATTTTTATTAGAGAGTAATATAATAAAAACTTGTTTATGTGTGAAGAATTTTGTGTGTTTCTTGACCTAATCCTTACAAGGGTTCGATATTTCTTCTTCTTCTTTCTATTATCTTATTTCTTCTTCTTCCGTCCTACATCACTCTCTACGGCATTATCGCATGTTGGAACACATCATTTGGCATGATGTGGTTTGTCCATAGTAGTGCCATGCACTGTTTAACCTCTTGTGTTGTTTGTTTTTGGTTGGATGATGGTACAAGTGACATTTGAATTGACAAAGGTGTAAGCTTAGAGAAAGTGCCAGGCTTAGTAGCATCATGTCGAGTCTAAAAGCTGTAAGAAGATGATACCAACTCCTACTTCTCTTTCACAACAAAACTTTGCATCGCACTGCTATAATAAGTAACACAACCATACAACTCAGTGAAAATAAAGTCTTTACTGTACCTGCGTGAACGACACCACCTCCTCCCAACACCCTGCAGGGGCGGGAGGATCATGCACTCTAGGCCACCCTTCTATGTAATTATAAGCAGCAGTCAATTAGATACCAATTATGAGGTGCACATGAACTCAATCTTTCAACAAATCCAATTATGAACTATTTTAGGTTAGCTACATGAATTCTATTAAACCACAAAGAGGTGTACATCACATAGATGAAATGAGCTTCCGGGTATGAAAAACATACATCACAAACGATTTGTTATAAGCCAGGAATAAACTTCTATTCAACACCCATTTCTTCAGGAATTATTATCCATTATTCAATTAACAATTAATGGTCAAAATATAAAGGTGCTATTATATTTACCGTGTTGACCTCTAACTAATCACAGATATTAGTCTGGCACTCTGTCCAACCCTCGAACCCTTAATTCACAAGATCAGTGATGAGCGATAAGACTTTTTGGCAATTTCTTTTTCCAATTGCAAAACAGATCCACATTGTTCATGTACGTGGGTTGGTTTGGCTGTTCACATTACTTGAACAGTCACAGTTTCTTTCTTATGCCGACAGGTTACAATATGAGTTTCGAATCTTCAATTTATTAACTGTCCTGATATATAACATTCAGCACATTTCAACTCAATCACCATGTTCTAGAACCCATCAATAGGCCATGTTCTACAGCCCATTAATAGGGGTGATAATGGTAGGAAAAAGTAAGTCAAATAAGTTGCATACCTGCGAGTGCACGTCTCATATCCCCATAATGTACGGTGGTCCAAACACCACGTTCTAGCCTGTGCTGAGCAGCTTTGGCAGATGCAAGTTCCAAACCACTGCAGTAAACAAATTGTAAACTTGAGAAGGATGAGAGGCAAACAAAAAAGGAGGCATCGCTGAGCGGCCTTCAAACAGCCTATCCATAGCCTTTTGATTCAGAGCCTCATCAGATCTATTTTTGCACTAGAGACGAAGTCTGGGTGGAGCTCAAAAGGAATACAGAAACTACTTTTAAATAAGGTAAAGTACACAAAGCATTGCATTAAGTAAAACGACCTTTCTTCAACGTTGTTTGATCTATCAGTGCAGTTAGCGGCCTGTGCCGCCCTTAAGAATAAACTTCTAGTAGGATCAAATTGAAATGGCCAGAAAGCATTCTTCAAGTCCATCAACATCTGCATATGAAACTTGTCATAAGTATCAAATCATACTATGCAAATGACTGCAACATATATGGCCCTGGAAAAAAAAAGGATATGAAGAAAATGAAGAAATATTAAACGAGGCCTAGAATGTTACAAAAGGAAGTATCAACTATTTTGATTGAAATCTACATATATGTGACTGTTTCACCATTCTTTGAAAGTTTGATTTGGTAAATGGTGTGGAATTAACAGAGAAAATTTAAAATCTAGGTCACTTGGTTTGATCCTTGTACATGACGGCATCAAAAACTCAGAAAAGCAACATTAAAAAATGTGCTTCATGTGGTGATTCTACAAAAGAAATGAAATGGCAACAGCAGGTTAAGGCAAAAAGATCAAAGGGGGATTGCAATTTTTAGCTGTTGACTAGGTGGCTATCGGAATGCAGAAGAAGGACATTAAGGATTCAGAAGCTTGAAAAAACAGAGACACATCATTGATAAGATTTCAAAGATCTTGTTATGTAGTTTAAACCTCTTAGGGATTCTAGGAGGCTTGCTGCTGAAAGTGTAGATAGGAGCCCTATTTCAATACCATGATCTTTGGCTTTAGAGCCCATTGGAGTAAGAAGATGAAAAGAGACTAATGACATGGACTTGTGTAATAGCACATATCCAGATAATTTTATGATACAAATGTGACAGGTTTTGTTGGAGGTTTCGTAGAATCCCATACAAGGGGCACGAGAAATAAGAACACAAGTTCAATCTTAATATGTGTATCAACCCCGACCACCAACCAAAAAAGAAAAAGAGCAAAAAAGAAAGAAAAGGAAAACAATAACAAAGAGACCTATCTTGATAAATGGTTATAGGTCTGCTTCCAAGCCTACACATCATGGCCAAATTGTTGTCTACAAGGCAGAGATGTGATGTTTATATTACCATTCAATTGAAAGCTTGTTACAATTTATAGGGCCAGAGTTGGCTTGGGGCCGTGAGAGGGTTCAAATAAGCAGATCTATAAACTTTGTTCCTTTTAATGATTTATAATCTGTCTCAAAATGAAAACATAGATCAAACTTTGCAAAAGAAAAGAAGATAAATCTGTCATCTATTCTAATATTCAATGATTGAAAAAGAGGTACCAGAGACATTATATTATAAACCTTGCAATATGAAAAAGACCAGACTAACCCTAATTATAATTAAATATCATACAATCTTAACAGCCCCTCTCAAACTCATGAAATAACGATAGGAGGCATTGAGAGTTTATCAATGAGAAAATGAAAACGCAAAACGTAGTGTGATACTTCATAAAGAAGTCAGCCAACTGCATTGTGGAAGAAACGAAAGACAAAGAAATAATCCCAAGCTGAAGATTGTGGTGCATTGTTTCAGTACGAACTGAAACATTTTGGAAAAAGAATAGAAACAAACAAAAATTATAAAATTTGTTTTCAAAACATAACAAATCATCTCGAAACTCATCAAAACATTCCAAAATGCCTCGAAATAGCTCGAAATATAAAAATTTTAATATTCAATCATTGATTCATTAAAGTTTCCATAGAAATGAAACTGTTTCGAAACCAAATTTAAATATTTTGGGTAGCACACAAAATGACAACCAATCTTAACATGATTAGTTTGCGGGTGGAAAACAAAATTGTGCACAATTTGAATGACACTTTTATAGTCACAATATATTAAAGTAGGAGTGAAAAAAGAAATGCCTATATCGGCAAGCAACTATCTCAACCAAATTATCTTTTATAGTCGAACAAGTTACAACAGTCTACTTCTTGCTTTTCTAGAAAATAAGAGAATCACCCAGAAAGAACAAAAACCGATATGTGGCCTCACCTATCAGGTCAACAACAGAAAAAGCACAAAGCACCAAAGAAGAAGTGGAAAAAAAATGTTATGAGAAGTGCCACTAACATAACACAAAATGCGAAGAACTATAGACCAATGCACTGTACTCAAAGAGGAGACAAACTGACTCACAATATGTACAACATACAAAAGGTCACTTCATGTAATAGTAAGATAGACTAGAATATCAACATTAGCCTGATACAAAGTAGGATACCCAAAAGTACACCGTGTAATGTACATTGAGCTAGAAAAAAGTCTTAAACAGTCCGAAAATCTGTTAACCTGTGGATAACATTGTCTGCATATTCGATTCAGAAAGAAGATTACTCTTGGGAGATGAAGCCACTTCGACGCCCATCCTTCATCTCAAACTATTACTATAGTTCAGACTTATAGATTGGAATGTCTTCAAAATCATTCCCAATAATAATAATATCATCAACATATAAGATAAGAAGAGAAGAATCTAACCGGTGGAAGCAAAACAAATAAAAAGAGTAAAATCATGATCACTAGAACGAAAACTCAAGTCACAAATCATTGTAGAAAATTTCTCAAACTAGGCCCAAGGAGTTTATTTGAGACCATACAAAGCTTTTTTAAGTTTTCATACCTCACCACTGAAGTGTGGGATAGACCAGAAGGTGGAATATAAAAACCTTTTCTGTAAAATCACTATTTTAAAATGCATTCTTGATATCTATCTGACATAGTTTCCACTAGTGAACAACAGTCATGACAATTAAAGTGTAAACAATGGCCATCTTGTTAGAGTAGTCTAGTACACTTAGAATTATAGGGATAGTTTAGCCATTTACTTTATTAGATGTTGTCCTAAAATATAAGGGTCTCTTTATATATCTTAGGTTTTGATGTTGCTGCCCAGACTTATTGCCCTGTAATGATATTTTCTCTCTTTTGTTCTTCTTTTCTCTTTCTTTGATCAAAGTTTACATGGTATCGAAGCATGTTGCAATCCGAAAACATAGGGTACCTCTCTTAGTTTTCAATTTCGTGGTCATCTAATAGAGTTTTCTATTTTTTGAATAATTTTCGAAAATATCTCACTAGTTTTTCGATCTTGGATTTCTTGTTGTTTTCTTTGACTCGTATGTATCGTCTCGTATCAAGTGTATTGTATCGTGTATCAAGCGATATGCTACAAAACCAATATACTTAAATGATACGTATCATTTTCTTCATGTATCATATGATACGTATCATACAATACTAACATTTTTTTTTTTTTGGTATCATACAATACTAACAACTATGATTAAACATAATGAAAATAAAATACAAGGACGCTACTAAAAATATTTATCATCAGTAGTGTTCAATATGAATTTGATCAATAAATTATATCCCAAAGGACCCAACCTATTTAGTATAAATATCCTATACTTGTAAATTTAATAACAGGCAATTTAACAGAGAATTTAATACATAAAATAAAGCAGAGACTAAAATATAAAGTAAAACATACCAAAAAAACATAAATTAGAAGGGAAAAAACTAAAACCAATACTTAAAATCCTTAAAGTAGAAGTGCAAACATATATTTATTGACAGAGAGTCGTGGCCCTTTGTCTTTCACTCGTCTGGGCTTCTGTCTTTATGAGTGAGAGAAAGAGAGACCTGTCTAAGATGAAGAGAGGCAAAGTACTGAGGCAAAAAACATAGACAAAAAGAGAAAGGGAGAGAAAGAGAGAGAAAGAGAGAGAAGTTGAGAGCTCGATTGTCGTCAGTCATAGTCTTGGGTTTCTGCAACTGATCTGCAAGATACTAGTCCCTATTGAAATAAGAAGAAGAAGGTGATTTTTCCTGATTTTACAGTTGTATTACAATTTTTTTTAATTCCTTGTTCTGTTGCATAGCACCATGTGAGATATTCAAGGTTCCATTTTTGTTTGTCTTGCGCTAGCAAATTGTTTCTTTTTCTTTTTGTCAGATTCTGGGTCTCCAACGTCATCTATTTTTCCTTGTTTGGTATTTTCTCTGTTGTATGAGATGTGGGGAGCTATTTTGTGTGAGTCAAACGAGATAACTTGGATTTGGAAAGAGTTATACCAAGTTAAATCGAGTTGGACCGAGTCAGAACCGATTCCTATGAGACTCGTGTTATTTTGATATCATATATCATTATCAGAACGGTTGTGGCCGAGACGGATACAACTCAGCCAAGTCATATCAAACTTGGCGAATTCTTTAAACCCTATTTCAGAGGAACAAAAATGCTACCATTTAGGGATTGCAAGCAAACATAGTCTTCAAGAACTATTGCATACTTTTCTTGCCATAGTAGATTTAGAATGAACCTTAATTCTATAATTTCATTCTGGCAAAATCACAATTGTGATGGAAACTCACCCATTCGAAAGATCATCGTGTCCTGAAAGTCGATCTCCAAGAACAACCATACACTTTTCACATCATAGTAGATAAAAATTAAAACCATAATTTGGTTCTGGTTGTTATTGGCTAGATTTACCCAACAAAAAAAAGTATATGGAGAGTTACTTCCATATTCAATAATGTGTGAGCTTATTCTCGCCTTTACAGACCCTACATTAAAGGGTTCCCGATGGATATTAGAAGGATTAGCAAGCTTCCAACTCGAGCGAAAGGGAGAAAGTTTTAAGGCATACTCCCAATGTATGCATTTGTGTCTCCACGGAGGATCATTTCCAAAATAACTGTAAGTCAATCCTCTCAAATGGGCTTCAATGCAAACATTTCTCCACAAGTGATAATTGCTAGTTGAAGATCATATTAAATGTTCTTTTAGTTNTAAAATACAAGGACGCTACTAAAAATATTTATCATCAGTAGTGTTCAATATGAATTTGATCAATAAATTATATCCCAAAGGACCCAACCTATTTAGTATAAATATCCTATACTTGTAAATTTAATAACAGGCAATTTAACAGAGAATTTAATACATAAAATAAAGCAGAGACTAAAATATAAAGTAAAACATACCAAAAAAACATAAATTAGAAGGGAAAAAACTAAAACCAATACTTAAAATCCTTAAAGTAGAAGTGCAAACATATATTTATTGACAGAGAGTCGTGGCCCTTTGTCTTTCACTCGTCTGGGCTTCTGTCTTTATGAGTGAGAGAAAGAGAGACCTGTCTAAGATGAAGAGAGGCAAAGTACTGAGGCAAAAAACATAGACAAAAAGAGAAAGGGAGAGAAAGAGAGAGAAAGAGAGAGAAGTTGAGAGCTCGATTGTCGTCAGTCATAGTCTTGGGTTTCTGCAACTGATCTGCAAGATACTAGTCCCTATTGAAATAAGAAGAAGAAGGTGATTTTTCCTGATTTTACAGTTGTATTACAATTTTTTTTAATTCCTTGTTCTGTTGCATAGCACCATGTGAGATATTCAAGGTTCCATTTTTGTTTGTCTTGCGCTAGCAAATTGTTTCTTTTTCTTTTTGTCAGATTCTGGGTCTCCAACGTCATCTATTTTTCCTTGTTTGGTATTTTCTCTGTTGTATGAGATGTGGGGAGCTATTTTGTGTGAGTCAAACGAGATAACTTGGATTTGGAAAGAGTTATACCAAGTTAAATCGAGTTGGACCGAGTCAGAACCGATTCCTATGAGACTCGTGTTATTTTGATATCATATATCATTATCAGAACGGTTGTGGCCGAGACGGATACAACTCAGCCAAGTCATATCAAACTTGGCGAATTCTTTAAACCCTATTTCAGAGGAACAAAAATGCTACCATTTAGGGATTGCAAGCAAACATAGTCTTCAAGAACTATTGCATACTTTTCTTGCCATAGTAGATTTAGAATGAACCTTAATTCTATAATTTCATTCTGGCAAAATCACAATTGTGATGGAAACTCACCCATTCGAAAGATCATCGTGTCCTGAAAGTCGATCTCCAAGAACAACCATACACTTTTCACATCATAGTAGATAAAAATTAAAACCATAATTTGGTTCTGGTTGTTATTGGCTAGATTTACCCAACAAAAAAAAGTATATGGAGAGTTACTTCCATATTCAATAATGTGTGAGCTTATTCTCGCCTTTACAGACCCTACATTAAAGGGTTCCCGATGGATATTAGAAGGATTAGCAAGCTTCCAACTCGAGCGAAAGGGAGAAAGTTTTAAGGCATACTCCCAATGTATGCATTTGTGTCTCCACGGAGGATCATTTCCAAAATAACTGTAAGTCAATCCTCTCAAATGGGCTTCAATGCAAACATTTCTCCACAAGTGATAATTGCTAGTTGAAGATCATATTAAATGTTCTTTTAGTTTTGTTTTTCTACAATAAATAAATAACAAAAAAAAAATGGCAGTCTAGTGCACGAGAATCTCGCCACTATGGAGTCAAGGAGTGTTACATGTATGCAACCACATCCTTGTATGCAGCGAGGTTGTTTCTACAACTCGAACCCTTACAACTAGATCACAATGAAGCAATCTTACCGTGTGCCAAACCCAGCCTCAAACAAATAACTGAATTAGTAGATAGATTGATATACAGAGCTCCAAACTCGATCAATGGTTAAACATAGAAGACACTTACATAATCTACCAAATTTAAAACAAAAATCTAATACATTACGAGCAGGTTCATTAAATTCTTACTTTTTACTACAAACATGACATAGAAACATAGCCAAAATCGCATTATACTTTTGAAGACCACGATAGACTTACTAAAAAATAAAGCAGGAAGATAATAGCAATTAGCTGAGTAGATACCACAGAGTTGGCATAAGAATGTTAGACACAGAGATTGTGCTGGACAGCATAAGTTACCTCCACTAGTAGAGATTGCGATGTCATGATATGTGGTTGATCAGATTCCTTGGTTTTCTGTTTATGATAGCCTCTAGGAAAGCTATAAGAATCATGGGGGAAGAAAATCTCTATATCAAAACTCAAGAGACCCCATAAATGAAGCATTTTCAGAATCTCCGAGTATATAAGTGATAGCATTGAAGCAGAACCTGAACGATGAGTTAAAACCTGATAAAAAGAAATGATTCGGTTGTTATCGAAGAGACAAAAATAATAAGTCCCTCAACGCTCAGGTTAATAAATTAAGTAAAAGGCAGAGCTCATACTGAATGAAGATAAAGAGCCCGTTGCTCTAACTGGTTTCTTGAATTGATTCTCCGGAAACCCTGGGAAAGATGAAGCCACATCATTAGCACACTTCTTCCACCGCTAACATTTGTAAAAATCAGTCATATACTGAAGTTTCCATTGTTCTTTTAAATTTTTTTCACAAGTGAAATTTGCATATATACAGGAGAAGATGTGATATTTGGAAAAGGCCGGGAACAAGTATGGTTTTCTTGTGTGATATTTGCTCCTCTGCTCTAATTCATATCAAATTCCCAGCCACTAAATAGAGTTAAAAAGAAAGAGGCTGCTTTTTTCAGAGAGGATCAAAGGAAGGTCATGTTTTCCGTAAGGGGAAATAAAAAGAGGTAAACATTTGCCACATGCCGGGAGAAAATTAATTTTATGCATATCAGGCAGGCATCATGGGAATCTTGCAAAATAATTCTCTAAGCAGCACCAACATGCAAATGCAGCAAAACCTTTTAAGTAAAAAATAAATATAATATTTTTTGTATAATACATCTAAAACAAAATGCATAGTTAATGGAGTTCTATGACCTTACCAAGACCTATATAAACAGTTTGGGTTGAAGAGCCCTTTTTTTTGTTAGAGACATTCATTTCAAAACTAATAGTCTATGAGTGGAGAGGTCCCTAAACAATATATATCAGCTTTGGTTTGCCCTAATCTTTCAATGTGGGATAAAAACTCTCTTTTCACCCTCCCTTGCGTGTGCCCCGGGCTCACACATGGTGTAATAGATAGGAAGATAAACATGCATACCAGGACATTCAAATGGACGAGAGACTTATCCCTCTAACCATCCAAGGTCAAACTTTGATACCACAATGAAATTTAAATGTAAATGGAATTGTTCAAGAACGAACACAAAGTAAGTTACGCGGTTTGATCCTAAGACTTACGTCCACAACATACAAAACTCACAAATTAGGAAACGACTTTCTCATATAGATGAAACATACCAAAGCAAAGCATCCACAAATTTATTAGCAGAAGTTTTAATGCAAAAAGCAGAATAAGGGTGCCTTCTAAATGTTTCATACAAAATCCAGACTAGATTTCACCCGTTTTAAACTTCAAGTCAAACCTATCAAAATTTGGTTGGATTCATGAAAGTAGTTAAGCTAGGGATGTTAAAGCTACCCAACTCACAAATCTCTGAAAGCCAAACTGCTTTGAATTGTAGAAATTTATGCTACTAGTGTACAGACCTACACAGCAGAGACAAAGAATGATGTAGACTATTGTGTGAAAAAATTGGTTGAGATGTGAAGATGCTAACTATTATTATTGTTTTATCCTTCTAAAACTCTGGAAAATTGTGAAAAAGATAATAGATGACAACCAAAATACAAGAAACTGCAACAAAGTACACATTATTGAAAAAAAACTAACTTCTGTTGGAGCTTTGGGCTATTGCCGGAGACAAGCAGGTGGACAAAGTTGTGAAGGATCAATCCTTTGCTAGATGTATTGCCTCAGTTAGGAAAGGAATTGAAATGAAGGGTAGGTGGCTCCTATTTTTATTACGAAGGCCAAATGTCTGTGCTACTTCACTCAGTTCTTCAGATTCTAAGTCTCTTCATTTTAATTTTTTCAATCACATGATACTTTTGTCAAACCATGTGCTTCCATAAGTTCACATATTATGGTTTCCTTTCTGTTTCACAGCTTTGTGAAAAAAAATGCAGTCAGTCTTAGAAGTAATTAATAAATGTTTAAATTATGTATCTGGGCCGAGAATCTGACTTATTTTCCATTGTCAATTTCATATAATTTGTACTTTCGTATTGTGTATTCTCATCAATTATCATTACATTTCATAACATGCAGAGCAAATGTGTAAGAAGAGTTTGACCTTTATAATGCAATCTTTTTAAGTTGCCAATGTCATACATGTTACTTGTCTATAACTAAAAATTGTCATTTAAAATTCACAGATTCATTAAAAAAAGAAAGGTGCAAGATTAATCTCAAAGAGTCTAGATAGTAATGCTCAAATGATCTCAAGAAGCTAATAAAAAACATGGAAGATCATTATGGCATGTTTTGCCCACCATCGGACATGTTAAACCCTCCATGGATATTGCAAACAGCAAACATATTTCATTTATGTATGCATAATTATAACGGATGGTCTTAGTCTACATGGGGATTATGTGCAGCTCAATTAAACTACAGGGTCGGTAAAATGTAATTTTCCATGAAAGAGTAAATAAAGAACATAATATAAAACTCAATGTAAAATGTGGAAAAGCAAAAAAATTTACCTTGTTAACATACAAGTATCTCTCCAAACACTGGAGAAAGCGCTCCGGCGAGGCCCTGAATGAAGAGTGATAGCTGGAGCAGTAGCCCATAGAAAGATCATCCAGTCTCTCAACAAAAGCATCCACGGGAAGAGGAACCGAAGAATGTGAAATGAGAGAATCATCTTCCGCAGCAATATAAAGAGCTGTTTTTGCTAAATCCGCCCCTATGTTTATCGTAATGCTCGTGTCTCGATCAATATCAGAAAACTTCCAAATCTGCGAGCAGTAACCATCCCTCGCAGCCTGTTGATCATTGATAATCCATTCAACTAGAGATTTTTAATTATCCTTTCAGCCCTATATTCCTTGGCTTCTTTGTGGAAGGAAGGATAATGTGATCAATTTATTTCTTGCCTTCGTTATGGGCCACAGCCAAGGGCGGAGACAGCTATGGTCAAGGTGGGCAAGTGCCCCACCTCAAAAAAAAAAAAAAAATTTATTACTAAGGTACGTATATTATGTATTTGTACTAGTCTTAATCCGTGTCTGGACGTACAATAAAAAAAAAAAATTCAAGTCCTAAAAAATCGATCTAACTATGTTAAATAATAATTTTTTTCTTTCATTTATTTGATTATATCATTCAAAATTTATTTTTTTCCATTATTTTTTTAAAAATATTGACAAACTTTTCTCGAAATACGTAATCCGATAAAAAAATTTTAACATATATATACTATCGTATATGGATAATATCTAAAATAAAAATTATGTTGAACTATAAATTAATCAAATATTTAATAATTGAATATATGATAGAAATGAGTGATGTGATGATTTAGTGGAAAAAAATGTATGGGGAATAAAATTCAATTTTGTATGTGTTTTATTATATAGATAATATATTACTTGTGTCCATCCAAAATTAAAGAAAAAAATATTAGGCCCACCGTTATAATATAACGAATATATATTTTAAGTATTTCTTCAAAAATTTTAATTATGTCCACCCTATTTTTTTTACCACATCAATTAATGTACACTTATATCAAATGAATAATTTTAATTATGTCCATCCTATTTTTTTTTTTGGCACATCAATTAGTGTATACTTATATCAAATGAATATGAATTTTTTGACACATTTTTGACAGGTTATGTACCTATCTGGATAAATTTTGAATATACTAGAATTATTTTATACTTTTTAAAACTAAAAAAAAAACATGATATACATATCCGCCAGTTTACTTGTGATTTTGGCATTTATTTTTGCTAATTATGGTAAAAATTAAAGAGTGCACAGTAAACAGCATAATCGATCAAATGAGTTATAAATACAAAAGTAATAATATGATTATGTATATAAAAAATAATAAAATTGTAATGCAACGATTTCAAAATACAAAAATTCAACAGAGTCAATTCGAAATAATTTTAATTAGCCAATATTTTGTAAAAAAAAAAATGTTAGTTGTTTGTATATACTAGGCTTACCAAATTTTAGTATGTTGGGTTTAATGAACTTTTAAGTATTAAATAGGATGTAATTAAATAAATTATTATCCTATTTCTATCAATTTTAAGAAAAAAATAATAATTTGTTGAAATATTCCTACCCACCTTGACACAATTTTCTAACTCTGCACCTGCCCACAATATCTAAGGAGTTTCAAGGCATTTTACTCTGTTACACAATCGAAACAACAGACTAGCCCTCAAGCTTCTGTATTGAAAGAACTCATTTCAGAGATAGCCAGATCATCCGACTTTTAGTTCTTTTATCATGTGATTTTGACGGATTAGAGAGAAGCCTCGTGTGTATCTTAGTTTCCTGTCTTAAGTGAGTGCTTTTCACTTTTTGGAAGGACACCTTGTCCAACCATTTCTGTAATGTTCTATCATTAAACCAATAAAAACGTTTTGTTTCAAAAAAAAAAAAAAAAGATTTCTCCAAATTCTAGACCACCCACTTTGAATTTAGGGGATTTCATCCCTACGAAAATCTAGGTCACCCACCTTGAATTCCGACCCATTGCAGGAGATTAATCTGGAATCGAGAAATTCTAAATCTATGTCATCCACGTTGAATTCCGAAAGGACTCATTGCAGGAGATTAATCTAGAGTCCAGAAAACCTAAAATCTATGTGACCCACCTTGAATTCCAAAAGAACCCATTGCAGGAGATTAATCTAGAATCGAGAAAAGCCAAGCGCTAAAACATAAAATCAGAGGAGAATATAATACCTTGGCATGGACTGTATTGATGCCGGATGAATCGAGGGCATCGTGAAGTATGAATTTGGGCTCATTGAGTGCTGCTGCGAATTGGGATCGACAAACTACACCACCACAACTGTTATTCCTCAGAGATGTTGAAGGGGACAGGTGATTTCTTGAGGATTTTGATGCATTAGAAGATGAAGAAGAGGGTATTGATGAAGATGATGAGGGAGGAAAAGCGGCCGTAATCCATGGAGAATGTAGCCCACTCATAGCTCCTCTCCTGAAATATCTACAAATAAAATCTGTATCTATTTCTCTTTCTAATGAAGGAAAGGCAGCCACCTACCTATTTTTGGTACTTCCGTTATTTTCGTTATGAGTCTTATGAACTTAATAGTTAGGGTAAATCTCATTTTCCCCCCGTAAGATACAAAAACTTTTATTTTAATTCTTAAATGATTAATTTTTTCACATTATTCCCTCAAAGAAATAAAATTATTATAATATGATATACTGTCTTATTTTCATTTAGCCTCCATATGTCTAACGAAAATAAGACGGTGAATTTTATTTTAATATTTTTATTATTTTGAGCAACAATGTGAGAATATTAACTATTTAGAATGCAAACTAAAAATATTTGTATTTTTTAAGAGTTAAGTCGGTCAAATTTTCTAGTTTCTTTCTTATTTATTTTTTTATGTTTATGTTTTTTGAAATAAGATTCAACCCAAATTTTATTCCCCATTTAAAAATTCGATATGATTAATAAAATTGATCTTAATTTTAGCGGGTTTAAATTATAAATGATTGGACCCATTCGACCATTAATTAAATAGGTCAACACGAATCCACATAAACACATCGCAAACTCATTATATATTCCTCATAAATGACACGAAATCAATCATACACACGAAATTATAAATGAGTTGAATATAAGTTAAAAAAATTAGCGTAATATAATTTAAAAGTGAAATGAATCTGACACGAGACAGTCTATTAACAGTCTTAATAATGCATCTTTGCAAACTCATTATTTTCCAAGTAATTTTTTAAAATTGAAATAAATTTTGATGAAAAAAATAAAATATATTTACATTCCCTTTGATAATATTTTTAAGTATTAAACTACTGGTTCAAATACTAATAGATCAAACCTGGTTAAAAATAAATACCAATTTTTTTTTTTAAATGCTATGCACACTAAAATATTTATCAAAAAACATTTTTACCAAATAAGTTGACTGCGCCATATCCTATCAAAAATATTCGGGTATGCATTTTATGAGATCAAGAATAAAATGGAGTTGCTAATTCATTTAGTAAAAATATTTTTTTAATAAATATTTTAGTATGTATAACAGTGCTCTTTTTTTTTATGAAATTCGGCAGAAGAGGAGTACTGCCAAGTGCCAACACCAGGGATGTGCATAGTGTATACCACCTTGCCACGTGGAAATAGCTGCCATAGAAGAAGAGAAGCTCCAAATCAGAACATTTTCGTGCTAGCTAGTTTGAATAAACAGAATTCCTCTCTCCTGCGAAGTCCTGATCCATTTTCTTCTTGGATTTTTTCTCTCTTAAACGACAAGGATTTATTCATCGTAATTACCGTAATTAATTAATTCCGAATTTATTTTCGCACCTTCAGCCATCGTTCCAACCTCGATTAAAATTTAAATTTTAAATAAAAACAGACTAAAGCAAACTTTAATCATTCACTCAAATTAGTTAAATTTTTATTTATATCAAAAGAGACTAAAATTTCAACTCTCATATTTGACCTTTTTCTATGAATTCAACGATTATATTTCCCTATATTGATTTTTCACCTTTCTTATTTTTCAATTCATATGTGAACTTATTAATAAGTTCTGATAATGCACAAAAATGAATTTATGTACCACATGTCCAATAATTAATATATGTAATAAATACAGTAAATATAAAAATTAGATAATACAGATATAGCGTGGTTCAATCAGGGTGACGTACTTCACTTTGAAAGTGGTAACGATAACCAGAGAACTTTATTGATAAAGTAGTAGGGGAAGAGTGAGAGCACACAAGCAAATTCTAGGTGTGGTGATGTAGTTATGAGAAAGATAGTTGTGTGTGGTATAGAGATATGTGAATCCTAGTGTCTGTCCCTCATGTGTAGAGGGTTTACAATTTATAGATACAGAACCCTAGTTGAGATGGTGTCGTGAAGGTCAAGGTACTAGTCTATTGGGGAAGATATATGCAGTTGGGGATGAGCACTATCTTAAAGTAATGACTATTTCGATGATGGCTCTCCCACGTGTGTTGACTCTTCATGGACTCTTGAGTTTTTGACTAGACTAAGGTCATGAGTTAAGTCTGACCTACATTTTGATGATTTGCGCTTAACCCACAAACTGGACTCAAGCCTTGTCTAAATCTAAGCTCGTCAAGTTCTACAAGCATTACTATGATGAAATCATTGACAATACCATCATTTATAAATTCAATTTGATAATAAGCTTGCATGTATGCACAATTTGTTAAATTTGGTCATCAAATTTTCAATTGTATCAATTTAATTCCTTAAATTTTTAGTTTATATTACTTTGGTTCAATTGAAACACAGGGTTTAAATTGACTAATCAAAGTTTTTCCTTGTGTTTCACGTGACTAAACTTGAAATGTCACTTCAATTCTCCAAGTTTGTAATATGCGTCATTTTGGTGCTTTATATTTATAATTTATGTTGCTTTGATCCCTTATGTTTCCAAAAATTATTCTTCAAGTGTGGCCACGTGAGATACGCATGAATATTTTTGTTAAACAATTATAATCACCATTTTTTATTGGACTAAGTGACACAAATTGACCATAAGAGATTTAATTGACACAATTAAAAGGTTGAGTTCAAACTAACACAAAGTACATAATATGGGAATTCAAAATATCATCTGTCCTAGTATTTATGTCCAAGATAGTTGTTATTTTTTGTCTTTTGCATGTTCGTTTGCTATTGTCCTCTTTGATCACATAGTCATGTAGGAGCCTGTTTAGTTTACGTTTCAAAAATTAGTATTTGAAAACAGTTTTTGCGAAGAGTTTTAAGAAAGTGATTTTGATATTTTTGAGATAAAAAACTTGTTTGGTTAGATGATTTCAAAAATAATTTTACAATACAGAAAATAGTAAAACCTGTTTAGACAGTTTAAATATATATTTGAACAACAATTCAAAAATTAATAAAAAAATAAAAAAAAATTATTTTTATATTAATAATTTCATAATATATATATATATACATATTATAAATATAATATAATATTAATATATAATATATACTTATATATGTATATAATATAATATAATATAATATTATAAATATATATTAATATATTATTTATTTATTTATTTATATTTATATATATAATATATTATGTATTATATAATAATATAATATTATATAATAATATATTATATAAAATATAATATATAATATAATATATTATAATAATATATAATATAAATTTTTATATAGCATATTATATTATTTAATATATTATAATATTATATTATATATAATATGTGTGTTTATTATATAATATTTACATATTATATTATAATATATATTATATATTATGAGAGAGAGAAGAAGTAAAAAAAAAAAGGAATGAAGAAATTTGTTGCTAAGGAGACTCGAAGGGTAAACCTCATTAAAGTCCAAAATTGTTCTCATTGTTTTTAAAATTTTTAAAGAATACTCTGAAAACAAGTTGAACTTGTTTTCTGTTTCTTTAACTCAAATCGCATTTTTTTCTCAAAATTTTGAGAACAAAAAAGTTAAACAAACAGGTTTTATGTGTTTTTGAAATTTTGAGAACAAAAAATAATTTTCAAAAAACTAACCAAACATAGATTTTTTGTTTTGATGTCTCAGCTTTGAACTAAAAAAAATTTGACATTCAAGTTTGAACGGGCTTGAAAATAACAAATGATTGACATGTGAATGCCTCAACTTACTTGTGATGTCCTAATTATAAAGCGTTTGGAACTTTCTCTTTATCAATGTAGTAGCAATAAATCATGTTTGAAAACACTTTGTAATATCAAAAATTGAGTATTGAGAGATCAATAGTTGCTTAAATTATTTTTTGTTCATATTTAAATATCACATAACAAGTTTATAATAAAAAACTGTTAACAATTTAGATGTTATCTACATGAGGGATCTATAGAAACATATTCAATATTTCAAGAATCAAAATGATATAATTGAAATATTGAAAACCAAAATGAGACAGACTTTATACTTTTGGGACCTTTAGTGCAATTCACCCTTTTTATATTTAATTATGTAATTTAAAATAGAGTGAATAGAGACAAATAAGAGGTATGTATGAATTAGTGTAGTTGTCTAATACTAGGGAATGTGTTGATTGAGTTCTCTGATCTTATGTATATATACAAATTGTTGAAGATCATTTCCAAAATATCTTCTCTACAGTAGGACAAAGAAATTATGCTCAGGTGCTATAAGACATACCCCAAATTGTTATGACTGAGACGAATAATGCCTTGATGAGAACCCCTACAATTGAAGAAGTGAAGGCAATTGCGTTTAGCCTAGGATCCCTTAAGGCCCCTGGACCAAATGGTCTACCAAGTTTGTTCTATCAAAAATATTGGGATATCATATTTTTGCAAAGTGCAAAGGCATCTTCATCATACATACCACCATAGGATTTATGGAAAGTTATATGGAGGATAAGAAGTGCCTACAAAGATACAAGCGAAAATAGCAACAGAGCAACCTATGGAAAAGGAAAATCTCATAGCACCCACTATGCCCAATCCATGGAGAAGAAGAGGAGACCATGCCCCTAGACTTCACTAGTATGGAAGAACTCTCCTTTGGAAATTAGCATTGATAAAAGCAAGATTGCTAGAATTGAGGACTGGTTGATGAGAAACTTACAAAATGTGCATATTGATGAACAAGAATGCAAAAGGGGACAACCTCTCCTTGCATATCTACTTTGGTTCATCTGGAAGGCTGGGAATGAGTGGATATACCACCAAAAACAACCAAAAGCAATAACAGTTCGTACTCTTGCTAGCATATGCTATAGAACTAAAGCAAATTACAAAGGAAAGACAGCTAAAATGTGGCAACATGGGCAACACCAACAAGAGGATGGGTCAAATCAACTATGATGGAGTTTTTTGCCAAGGTACAACGAAAGGGGCCTTTGGATTGGTAGCTCATGACGCACACAGGAAATTCA